CTTTAGAGGTCGGACATGACTCTAGAATTCAGGCATTCAGATATGACTCTAGACGTTAGGATTTTTCCGGGATGACTCTAGAGCTCTTCAGGTTTCACGTCAGTAATTATCGGCCAATTTTGGCAACTCGTCAAGATATCTGTGTGCCTAGTAAGCAGTCAGTAAGGTTATCATGTAATATTCAGTAATGTTAATCTTTCTCAATGTTCAGATGCCGCCACGTAGAGAGCCCGATCATCAGGGTCCTACTCAGGCTACGGTAGTCGCTCAGTTCTGCGACTATCATGCAGAGAAGTTCTCAGGTCAGGGCGACCCCCGTATCGTTGATGAATGGATTCAGGGGTTGGAGTTTATCTTCGAAGTTATGGAATGCCCCGATAGATATCGCGTGGTTTGCGCTCAGCTTCAGCTCACTGGTGATGCGAGGCTCTGGTGGAACGCCTACTGGAGCATGCGTCCCGGTGAAAAGGCGGGTTGTACATGGGACATGTTCAAGGATCTAGTCCGTGAGAAGTACTACCCTTCTTACTATCGGGCAGAGATGGAGCGCCAGTTCTTAGCGCTTCAGCAGGGCACTCGTACTGTCGATGAGTACGAACGTGAGTTCACCAGACTTGCAGGTTTCGCACCGGATCTTGTTTGCACAGAGGCCCAGACAGCTCAGCGGTTTATTGACGGACTTTACCCAGCAGTCCGTCATAACATTGTGGGACACGGGACACAGACATATGCACGAGCAGTCTCTATCGCCCAGGAGGTTGACGCTAGCATCAGGAGGGAGGCCGTTAGTGATCGTGCTCAGCCATCTGCCCCAGCTCAGCCATTTGCAGCTCCACCAGCTCTACCAGCTCCTCAGCCAGCAAAGGAGAAGAAGAGGAAGGCAAAGGGTGCACAGACTGACCAGAGGACCCGACAGAGACAGATTCCACCATGCCCGACTTGTGGTCGACTTCACAGGGGAGAGTGTCATGCTGGACAGGACATCTGTTACTTTTGCCAGGAGCCGGGACACTTCGCGAGTCGTTGCCCGAAGAAGCTTCAGCAGCAGCCTCAACAGCCACCGCAGCAGCAGCAGCCACGACAGCAGGCACAGAGACCGCCACAGCAGCAGCAGCAGCAGAGGGGCAGGCAGCAGGCCAGGGTCTACGCGGTCGATCAGGAGGAGGCAGCACAGCAACCAGGTACCATGTCCGGGATGATCGTTCTTTATGATATTCCTGTGTTCGCTTTATTCGATACCGGAGCAACGCACACCTTTATTTCACGACGGTGTCTCGACGCCATCGGAGTTCATGCAGTTACCGCTGTCGATCCTCTCGAGGTGAGTTTAGCCTCGGGACGAAAGATAGTGACCTCAGCCAAAGCCTCAGATCTTAGCCTTTCTATCGGTGGCCGAGTATTGACTGCCGACGCGTTTGTTCTCGAGATAAAGGATTTCGATCTTATTCTCGGGATGGATTGGCTATCTTTCTATCATGCTGACATCAGATGTCAAGACCGGGAGATCACCCTCTATCTTCCGGGAAACGAGTCGATTACTTTCTTCGGCTCCAAGAACCGTTC